ATTGAGATATCGTGTTGGTAGGTCCACTTGAAGTAACAAGGTAGGTAAAAATATACGAGCATAATGGTATGTATGCTATGTTTCAGATGGAAATATAATAAGATGAAGTTGAGTGATAGAAATTTGGACTGAAAATTTGGCAAAAAATTGTAAACCCTGAAAACTTATAGCATGTATAATATAAAATTCTAGAGAATGCACTGGGGCATTTGTGGGGCAATGAGCAAAATGACCAAATAAGTCTCTTCCATCTTTAATTTCCTTACTTAATCATATGGAAATTGGTTTAGACTTCTGTGTCATCTTTATCCCACTACTTCCTCCCAGTTCTTGGTTTTTACACTGTCCCTATTTCTATAATTTTTAAATATTTGTAACAAAGGTTGGAATGACTCATTAAGTTTTACCAATAGTATTGCACTGTGGGTTTAATCAAAACTGACATACCTGTGACCATTCAATTTCTTTAACTTACAGCAGCAACAACAACAAAATATGGAAGAAAAATAATACAAAAGATTAAGTGCAAGCCTAATCTGATAATCTTGTGCACCTCTGTATTTAGAAAATGTTTATGCTGTAATTCAGCCAGAAGCATTTCTTCATTAGGGCACTGAAGGTTAATAGTTTAGAAGCCAGGTACAGTTTTCCAATGTCTGAAATGCTTATATTAGTTGAGGTGCATATGTTTTTAAACTCAGTTACAAAGTATGTTTCATATTGTTTAAAAATGTGAGAAGCATATACACCGGTATAAATTCTTCGGCTTCTAGGACTTTCACGTTGAAATGTTTTATCATCTTTTGTATAAACAATAGTCATAGGCCAGTGGTACTCAATTTCTGGCTCATGGGGCCTTGCCACCTGCTTCCCAGGGTTTCCCATCTGTCTAGAAATGTGATGGTAGGGGAGCAGTGACAGTGTTCCAAAGCCTTGGCAAGTAGCATTACTACCACACCCCTGCTGCCAAACTTCTAGACTCCTAGCATGGTCCTGTAGGTCAGAAGATGTGACCCCATGTGCCAGATCACATCAGCATATGTGGTTGCTCCGGAAATGGATCCTGACATGCAGTCAGGGCTGTGTATTGGGCCAGATTCAACATCTGGGACCAGAGCTGTGCACCAGATTGCACTTCTGCAGATTGTCCCTATGCCATCACCTGGCCCATGTTGATCACCAGTGACATGGGCTAATGGGCTAAGACTTTTAGAAGGTCTGCCATCTTTATTTGTTACCCACTGGTGCTTTGGGTTCATTCTTGGAGACAAAGGAAACAAGCCTGTCACAACCCAAAGTTGTGGTTTTTTGTTTTTTGTGTGCTTCGGCACCGCTAAATTATGTTCCTGTCAAATTGCAGCTTTTTTGCACGGTAGAGTTTTCTGCTGCAATAGGAGAACCTGCGTGCAAAAGAGTATTTCCCGCCGTTTGTAGCCTTCTTTGCATGGTGCATTTCTTTTGCATCATAGTGATGCACGGTGCAAAGGAGTTCCCGCCATTTGTATTTAGATTCGTGCCACATTATTGGCCGGTTCTAAATGTAGGCATACTGGTGGCTAGCTATTGGCTTGCTAGCCGTACAAAAGGCTTGGGTAGTTTCCGCCCAAGTCGGAGAGAGAGGAAAACTGGAGAGATACAGAACTCGCCAGGAGGAGGAGACTTCGCGCTATGTGAAGATCTCCAAGCGATGTGGACCCTTGCGGACCCAATGCACCTTTCTTAAGCAGGCAGCGGAGGTCTGTTTAGCTTCTAGCCTCTCCCCGTCACCGAGCGCAATCCTAGACGTATCCCTATCCTATATACCCAATTTTCGAACCCACGGAGTCTTAACAGCTCCGGGGGACCTGGGAACCGAACAGA